ACCCCAGGTTGTGCCTCAGCTGTATCCAATCTATATAGAGAGCTTGAGATGGTGGACCTCCTGTCACTCAAAGTCTTTGACAGTGAATTCTGGAAAGAATAGAGTGGCCTGATATTTAAAGGTTGACACGACACTGAGGACTGAATAGATTCCTCAAGAAATTCTCTTTTATTTTCCTCTGCACCCCCCAGTCATTACGGTGACATTGAAAGTTTGCTGGGACGCTCTCTAAGACCAGGGAGATGTGCCCGAAGCGTCGGTAACTCATGCGTGAAACACTGGGATAATTTAAGATCTCAGAAGGGGTTCGCTTCAAGGATGTATACTTTGTTTTCTACTGCCTCAAGAAATAATACCTAGGAAGCGCCTTAGACGTGCAACTTTACAGAAATTTTGGAAATATAAGCATACTCGGTTCTAGAATACGACTTTTTCTCATGTTCTTATGTGTCTATATGCATGTGCTATATGTGTACGTATAGGATATTTATACATATATGCAAATTTCGAAGTTCATTCATCCTTTCAAATGGGTTTTGTCAAAGATTTTTTTTTTTAATAAGAAACCACCAACTTGTACCTCAAACCACCCTTCCTAATTGAGTGTGAATTTTCTACTGACTCTTCCCCTGCTTACCCAGCAAGACAGATAAGCGATCGAAGTCTATAATTTCATATCGTTATAACTGCTAGATATACTATAGCGCTAAGTGACCACAGAAAGATGTGTTAAGATGTGAAACACAAGGATGCATATGCGGAGTTGTTTTGCCTTTTTCAGGGGAGGAGGCCGAGTTAGGGTGGGCTGTGAGCCTACCCAGGTGTAGGACCTTTGTCACTTTAGAGCTAAAGTGGGCATGGTTTTAGGAAAGCTTATAATGTGATTTCTGTCTCAGTACGGTCTTTGCAAAGTGGGAGGTTGGTTTAAGCCAGGACACAGAAGATTTTTTGCAATTGATCATGCCTTGCTCCCAGGAAACACATGTCAAGTAAACCGGTGTTATATGCTCGCTGGCAAGTGGTGACTTATGCGAGCATAGGAATGGTCTTGGTGACGGTGAGGCCAGTGGGATGTGATCAAAATTTCTCTCATTCACTCGGTTCTCCAAAAAACTCTCCAGTACCTCTCGTTCCCCTTTTCAGCACTGTAGGAAATACAAAAATGAACAGGACAGTCTTGAGCCTTAAGAGATTTATGACCTAGTAAGAGGAAGAAAGGCAGAGATATAATAACAGTAGTACAAGTTGGTAAGATCTGTGGGAGCAGGAGGCTCTCAGAGAAGGCTTCATGGAGGTGCTTTTCATGCAAGAAGAGCCCCGAGGGACTAGTAAATTTCCCAAAGTGAACATTCCAGCTAGAGGGGGTCATATGAGCAAAGACACCACGGAGCATTAGGGAACAGCAAGTGTCTGCTGTGGCTCCCAGCGCTGGATGAGGATGTGAAGATATTGAGAATTAAGACTGGAAAGGTAGGATAAGGTCAAATGAACGATCCAAGGCCTTGGATAACAAGTTAAAAAGATTTTAACTTCATTTGGTAGAAGGTAAAAAATGACCATTTCTAGAGTACCTTCTATGTGCCAGATACAGGTCTTCTTCTAATCTTTGTAATGACTTTGCAATGTGGATGTCACACACCCACTAGATGAAGGAGAACCCAAAACTCAGAAGTCACACAGGCGGTGACGGGGTGGGGGCTCACACTCAGGCCTCCCGGCTTGTGCTCCTTCTGTCCTGGTCACTGCAGACAGGGACAAGGCTCTCCGGAGAGGGCACAGCGTGGGGAGAGCTCGGGGCACAGGCAGGTCTCGAGGCTCTTGGGCTAGTCTGATTCGGAGGCAAACGAGGACTTGGTGGTAAAGACAATGAAGCAGGTTGTGTTTCTGGGATGACATACGGTTTAGGAACCACGCCGGGGTAAAAACTAAACTCGTCTCAGACTTTTTCTTCCAAGAAGCCAGTCTTAAAATAACAAGTCTTTTTTATTCCTTACGGGCAAGAGGTCTCTAACGAAATCAAACAGACCGTCAAACAGATGCGATTTCTAGCTGATTCATAAGGCAGATTTTCATTCTGAAAATTTCCAAAGCCACTATTTAAAATCGTGGCGGGCTACAGGGGATGTATTAATCAACTTGAGCGTTTTTAGTCTCTATATTACTAGGTCCTGGGATGTGATCAAAAAGAGAACTCTCCCCATGTCACCAATACAGCACGTTATTGAAGTCATCTTTCTCAGAATTGGGGAAATTCTGAGAGTTTCCCCTACAGCCTTGATCATCTTTCTTTTATTCTAGGAATTCTGTGATCAAATCTTCATCCCCTAGACTAAAAAAAAAAAAAAAAAGCAAAACACAAAATAATATATGTAAAAAAACAACATGAAGTGTGGAAACCCATTAAGATGATATTTCTGTCTGACTATTTCTTCTTGTAAAAACTGCTGCCCACAGTAGAATTCTCCACCCTCTCCTTGGTCATTAAAACAGCAAATGTTGAACTCTCCACATTTAATCGTTCAATGTCTCTAGATCCCCAAATGCTGTCACCGCCATTACCTTGCTCATGTCCGAGACAAGGCTTTGGTCAGCACAGGGAGGACCTCGTAGAACTGCCGCTACTTTCTTTGAAACGGGGTGTCTTAAACGGTCAGTGCTGTATATCACCTGTACGTGTTTTAGATCTGAGAGATCAGAGGCACGAAAGAACGGCTCCCACCTCTGGTCAGTTCGAGCTGGTGGTCTGGAACTGTGGGTACACTGCACAGCCCACCACTCGACCCCTCGCTCATTGCGACGAGAAGTTTCTTAGCCTTCCTTGGCTGAAGCTTGAGTATTCTGGGTACTTCTGTGCAGCTTCTTGTTGAAGGCATTCTTCTAACAGCTAGAGTCACCTGTGAGTCAGGCTTCCCCTCACCACGGTGGCCATTCGAGTTTAATTTCCCCGCTCCTCCCACTGCCCGATGATCAGCAGAAGTCCCTTAGGAAGTGGGACATGTCACCTGAGGTCAGTGGAGAGAAGAGTTGGGGGGAATCGAACTTTGCGGGGAGTCGATGGAGGCCGAGGCACCTCCTAACGGACATTGTTGGAGAACTAAAAGTTCTCCAGTTCCATCACTCTATGCCAAGTATTCTGAAAAAGAAATGAAATAAGCTCTGTTTTAAAGGCATTTTCAAGCCGGGGTACTTTGGGGTGAAAAAGTCTCCAAGCTGAAGACATACACAGCAGGGTCTAAGTTAAGAGATCTCTGAGGGTCTCAGCCCCAAAAGTGACATCTCATCGCAGGTTATTTCCAGCCGTCCCCACTGCACTCGGGTGCGACCCTCTGCTTCTGTAACTGTTGCGGTTACAAGGGTCGAGGAAGAACGCCACGACCTGCTGGTGAGGACTTCTGCGGTTCGTTTGCTTGTTGAAGGGATTTTTGCCTGAAACCACTTTCTCGCATCTCACAGGAAAGGTCTTACGTGAGCAGGAATCTATGTCTCGTCTCTTTACCCCAGGCCATTCCCTGTGAGAGAAGGAAAGAGGATCTTAATTCAATCAGTTGCTTCGAAAAGTCGCCAGCCTCCCATCCCTGCACACAGCGGTGGCCCGGCCGCGTCTGAGGGCGGTCGCAGAGGGCCGTGAATGGCGGCGGCGGGGCAGAGCAGGTGGGGCGCCCCCAGCCCACCCGCTCCAGCTCTCCTGTGCTGCTCTTTTCATATTTTTCAAATCCCAAAGCACCCGGCTCACGCATCCGTGCGGAATCTTGGCTTTAGGGCAGGTGTTTGGCTTTAATCCACCGTCGGCGCTCCGGCCCCAAATTTTGGGTGGCAGCGAGAAATGTGAAAGGAAGCAGAATTCTTGCGGGAAGGTGACGGAGGCCGGGCGAGGGGAAGCCACTGAGAAGGTAAAAATCCGAAGCCCCGGAAGACCTCCGATTGCTGTATCTGATATGTTAAGGCCCATCATCTCGAACGGAGAGAACACGACGCAGGAAGCCACCGTTCCTGGTAAGGGAGCTGTCGTTGGCTTGGGGAGGGCAACCCAGAAGGCCTGGGTGCCTAGACGGGACAGCAAGGAGTAACCGAGGACAACAAGCAAGCAGGGAAGCGCCGAGGCCAGGACCGGCAGCCAGACCTCTCCAGTCCCAGGGAAGCAGTCCACATGTCTCCACGTGCCCTCGGTGACATGCGTCCACCCATCCATCGCACACTGGGGATCCCAAGATGAAGGCGGTCGCAGTCCGTGCCCCCAAACTGCTTTTGCCTCAACCACGGAGACGAAACATCTGCTGAGCAAGTCTTATATCAAAGACTGACAAGGGGGAGCCAACGGCATCTGCCAGTGAGTCAACAACCCATCACTGAATCCCCCCCAACCGGGCTTTCAAATAAGTCACCCATTTAGGGGAAAGCAGTAATGTAATCGTTTCTAGGTATTTTCGATATTTTCCACTGTAAAATTACTCAGATGATTTTCGGCTGTTGGACCTGTTTAAAGGTTATTCTGGGACTTGCTTTCCATCCCTAAGAAAATCACGTCCCACCGGGCAATGTGTCATGGTGGCAGACCCCAGCACCGTGCACATTAAGCGCGCAGCTGGGGTGCCGTAACAAGTGATATCCGAGCCCCACCCAAGACTAATTAAGACCGATCTCTGGGGGTGAGAACTGGACATATGCATGTACAAGCATTTGTGTGTACACTGAGCAAAATGAGGCTCAAATGGCTAATGAGCCTCTGATTAAAAAAAAAAAAAAAAAAAACACTAAAACTTTTGCTCATTTGCTCATACCAAAAGCACCTGAGTGACGCCCATCTCACTTTCATCCTCCAGTGTCCACAGGTAGAGTTCATTCACACAGCAGGTCACTGGATCGGCGTCATCAGGACCA